ACACACACACACACACACACACACACACACACACACACACACACACAACATTGGCCCATTGTAGGCACTTTAAAAATGCTGCTAGAATTGAACTCAAAAGTTTCTTGAGGTAAAGTTTTTTCAAGTTCACTTTACAAATTATCTTCCTGTTAGCAGAAGCGTAAAAGATGATTGCCCTAGAGACAACAGGGATTTCATTTCCTTTTAGATGCTAGAAAGCAATTCATTAAACTTGATATAAATATAAATATACCTACTCATCTTTAACCCAACCTCCTTTAATGAACAAAGAACTACCTGATCCAGTTTTCTTTTCAATGTGGACACTTCTTTAGGATTAGAAAAGGTTATGTCCAGTCCAGGCGAGATGGCATAGATGAATTCTATCTCATATTCTTGTGCAGCAGAAATAAGTGTCATAAGTTGTTCTTTTAAAAAAAAAAAAAGAAAGAAAAAAAAAGCTAAATTTACAGATAATTTCATACCCTATAGAAAACACTACAAGGTAAAGAGTCAACCTTGCAACTGAAGCCTTCAAATTTCTAGTAAATTTGGTATAAAAAAGGAAGGAGAACCTTTCTTACTTGTGCTAAAAGTGAGTGCTTTCATCAATTATCAAGATATACAAAAATACAAGCTAGGTACCATTTTATTTAAGGATAGAAGGAAACAGTAAAAACAGTTGCATGGTATGAATACTGACAATAGTATTAATTTACAAACGGCATATAAAGAGATTGCTTTTATTTGAAAAAATTAGGGGTAGCTACGTGGTGCAGTGGATAGAGCATCAGCCCTGAAGTCGGGAGGACCTGAGTTCAAATCCCGCCTCAGACCAAACACTTGACACGTACTAGCTGTGTGACCTTGGGCGAGTCACTTAACCCCAACTGCCTCACTAAAAAAAGAAAAGGAAAAAAAAAGAAAAAAAGAAAAAATTGCCCTTCCACTTTTAAACAATCAAACTAAAAACTATTCCCACATCCCATTTTTCAAAAATGCCAAGCTATAGTTATTCTGCAAATACAGATTATTTAATTGTGCATCTTTAAGTACCTACAAGATACAAATGATAGTTTTAATACAAAATCCTAAACAAAAAATCTATAATGCCTTGGGAAATAGAAAAGGACGTATTCAGAATCAAGTAGTTTTTTTGGTGTTTAAGTGCTGGTCTTGAATGAGTGTCCCTTCATTAAGGAAAACAGTACCACATGCTATTCAAAAGTTTTAAAATGTAAAGGACTCTTTAATATTTCTCATATAACTTTCCCATATTACTTCTCCAAATAATTCCACCAAAGGTTTTTTTTGTTTTGCATGTCTTAACATTTACTTTTTCAGTAGTACCTCAAGATACTAATTTGAATAGTTTTAGTTTTATAATTTTGATAATGAATTGCTTAACTACATCAAGTACACAGTGGAAGCTGTAAAGAAGTAACAATTTTTAACTGGTTCTTCATAACTAAAGACAATTCCAGCAAAATAATAAAACATTCTCAAGTCATTCCCCTTGGCTAGATTTCGTCCTCTGGGCTATGTTGTACCAAATTCCAGTTAGGTGATTACAAAGATTATTTAAGTCAAAGAAAAAAGTGATAGGACCTTTACCTCTATTCATTCACTCAATATCTTACGTAAGGGGAGTTCATATTCTAATTTATGAGGTTAAAAAATGCTTTTCATCGCTTACTAAAGCTAACTGAGCCATCACCAGAAAGGCAATGTAGCTGAGATGGATTTTGAGTTATCCATATTTTTAGCACAGTACAGTAGAAAGAACACTAAACTCCAGAGGGTGGCCCTGGTTTGAATTACAACTTTGTTGACAGATTTGGACAAGTCATATAACCTCCCTGGACCTCACTTTCCTTGTATATAAAATGAAGGTAATGGATGATTTGGCCTCTGATTGCTCTTTCAGTTTTAGATGTGATTCTACATCAGTTTCTCTTGAGTAGCTCATAATTTTCTCAACTGAAGCTCTAATTCTAAATCACTCAGCTCTATGAGTTTAGTTTTGACTCTATGAGGTCAAAACCCTTCAGACTTATTTCTTCATCTGTATAGGAATAAAACATTTGTTCTATCTACCTCAGAGGGTTGCCAAGAAGCACTATGGAAATCTTAAAGTGCTATACAAATGTGAGGTAGTGACAAAGTTCTCCTTTTTCATCAGTAGCACATATTTCAGACACTTGGAATGAACTAAAGCTAATTGATTCTCATGGAATTAAACCCATAAGCTTGACTTCAGTTAGTCTTACCAAACTAAACTAAGTGTTCGCAGAAAAAGTAGAATAACAGTGAGAAGTACTAATAAATCAATTACTGAAATCCTCATACAACTAAACAAAAAAAAGACTAGACAAATACCTGTTTCCCTCTGCCATATAAATATTTATATATGAATATGCATATATATATATATATACACAGAGAAATTCAGAAAACATTGTTTAAAAAGGAAAAATATTACCAGCTTCTTCCACTGAGTACATCTCTCTCCAAAACATCCTGTGCTTGTAGTCATCTTTTGGTGCATACAAATATGTATTTAATTCCCATTTCTGTAGCCTTTAAGGGAAAAAGGGGAATAAAATGTTTAAAGAGTTGTTGATATATGTAAAGATTGACATTACAATGAAACAAGTTCAAAAATTCCTATATTCTTCTCGCCTTGGAGTCCCCCACACTCCTTCAAAAAGTACCAATATTCAAATAGAAGATAATCAAAACAAAATGTAAAAAAAAGACTGTTAGAATAGCAAATTATCCACAAGTAGATCTATAGTGATGAAAGTTATATTTACAAAGAGTAGCACCTTTATTTCTCTCCTTTGAAAAATAATGATTTACCTTCTGAAGAGTTCTTTTCTCTGTTCCATAACCCAAGGTCTTCCATAAAATCCTAGATTGAAAGCAATATTCAAGTTATTTTTTCGCATCTCAAAACTACATCACCTTCCTTTCAATTTTCAATTTTTGTACAGAAACCTTCAATTCTAAGTTAGGGCTGGGGGGGGGGGGGTCATTGGTTATGGTAGTACTGGAAAGTCATGCCCTTAGGTATCAAAAAAATCACCTATAATCAGTCAAATTCCAGATTGTTACTCTAAGGATGTTTATCTAGTTTTGACAATTTGGTGTGGGAGTAGAAATTGCCTAGTGGCCACTATTCACTCCTTTCTGGCCGTCTAAGGTTTTATTAAGTTCAATTAAGTTTACTGGATAATCCAGTTAAAACTAAACAAATAAAAACTTACAGAGCTTATGCCAACACCTCTAAAAAGTACAGAACAGTATTTATTTTTTTGTGAGATACTCAGGTTTAACAGTGACTTGCCCAGTGTCACAAACTAGTAATCAAGTATCTGAGGCTTATCTTGAATTTTGGATCCTCCTGACTCTGGGATTGGTGCTTTATCCACCGAGATACCCAGCTCTCCCTAAAATCATATTTAAAGATAACTTTTTCAATCATTGTTGGTCACACACATTAAATCACTTATATTCATCCTTGGTTTGGATCTAGCCATTTTTACTCTTTTCTGATAGGAGTGTGTGAAATGGGGTGGGTGGAGCCAAAGAACAGCTAAGGTAGAATGGAACAGAAATAACTTGGCTTTACCTGATATTATGATAATTTCTAATTTTTATTTTAAATTTCTCGAATTACTCCAAGCCCCAAACTGTCTACAACCAAAGAGGGGATTGGCAAAGCCAAATTCACAACAAATTAAGTAGTAGGAAGCAGGCCTGGATAGGAAATTCTCCAGCAATTTCCATTCTAGAGCAGTTAGTTTAAAGTTAAAAAATTCTCAAGAACCTGACTGGCCCCAGAACAATTCCTCTAAAAAACAAAAGAACTAGAAACATTCACTGGGGAAAAAACCCAACCCAACAACAAAAAACCACAACTGCCTGCCCAACCAAAAAAAAAAAAAAACAAAACATCTGACAGATAGTTGATCTAAACAGCTATATGAACACAGTACTGGAGCCAGGCACTCCCCAACCCTAACTCTACTACAACATTTTTTTCTCATACTCATCATCTCTGAAAGAGAGAGTAACTACTACCCATCAGGAATATTATAATCGATAAAGAGCATTTTTTAACTTCTAAGGTTTTTTTCAGCTCTGGTCCTATGATCTTAAGATGAAAAAGCCTCTCTAAATGCTATTTTTTTCATTCTATGGTAACGTTTCAACAGAAAATTTATTCATACTACAACTTTTTTTAAACTTTGTTTTCATTTATTTCCTTGCTAATGTGGGTAAAGCCTATTTTTAAATCCAGTAATCTACATAAAGCTACCTAAAAACATAAATTTTAATTATTAAGTTCCAATTTTTATTACTAATGAAATAGACTTAAGAGCTAGTGACATCGTAATCAAGATAACTTCTAATCCTGTCAAGTTCCCCCATCTATCCCCTTACAGGTTATTTTAAGGAGAGTTCCCAGCTTTCTTAATAGTCCTGGCATTAGGAAAAGTAGGAAAAATTCTATCATTGAACATCTTTCTTGACAGTCTTTCCAAAACAAAAAGCAACAGACTTCTTTAAGTTTAGACTCACTTTCTAAAGAATCCTAAAGTAAGAGTCTATAAAACCAATTAGAATCACGATTCTGGTTGACTGGAAGCAAAGAGGCAGGAATATTCTACTTCAAACTGAAGGCACAAGTGTTGTTATGCACCAGTAATACATCTTACAAGGATTTTTTTTGGGGGGGGGGGGGGGGGGGAGAGAGAAAACCTGGACGCACTTAAAAGTTACACGGCCTGTTCTTATTCGTTTCAGGAACAGGACCAATCCTTAAGAACAAATAATCAGTGCTGACTCAGGTGCAGAGTCACAAGGGAACATACAGAGAACTGGCCTCTAGGGGCAGTAAAGAGAACAACACGATACTGCTTTGAAAAACAAACAAAACGAAGTGACCAGGAGCTCTTCCCCTTATATGAATTTGCATCATCTTGAGTACTGTCTTGGTCTAGGACTTTTTCATTACTACAGTACAACATGTTCATGTGCACCATATGTACCTATTTATGTACACATATATACATACACATGCCCCCTCTGAGGTAAAGACCTGCAGATTCTCCTACTGGGATTTAACTGGATAGGTGATAATAAAAAGAATTAGCTAGAAATCATATAATAGTTTTATTTTCATAAGCATTTGCGGCAGCCAGATGCAGTCTGCACTTTTGTAAACGCCAAACAAAAAGTATCCTGCAAGGTAACTAGCAACTATGATAACCAGACCATCTTTCTCTCCACCGCCTCAGGAAATTATTTGCTTACTACCCCAGCAGCACTACAAAAATTTAAAACGAACTAGTTGATTCAAACTATTTCAGAGCAAACAATGAAGACCAAATTCACAGCTGTTCACCCTCACTTAAGAACAATGTTATAAAGTCCTATACTAGCAAGGAGATCCTTTCCCAAGTTGGAAAACATTTTTCACCTTTATTAAGCTTTTAGTAGGAATAACGTTATATGGAGTTTTTCTGATACATAAAAACACTTGTTACATAATGTAAAGAGTGATGAGTGCTATCAAGATAAGTATCTGTTAAACTCGAGGTAGCTAAAATGTTTCAAAGGCATATTGAGTGGGGGTGGGGAACGGAAAAGCAGCAAACTTGAACGCAAAAATATTGCTGGGGGGGGTGAGCAGGGAAGGGCTAGACCCCCAAATCGATTTAGATTATCCACAAATTTAACATTTCTGGTCGGCTCTCCTACCCAAGAGACTTTTTTAAAATTACAGTAATTAACAAATACTTATTAAGCCTTACGAAGTGCAAAGCACTTACTCTCAAGTAGCTTATGGTACATTTCTAGCTAACCACTGGGTAACCTGCATATGTTTTTCAGTCTGCTCTTAACTCACTAAAACTAGTTTCTAATAATAACTGTGCTAACATTTATAAATGGCTTCAAAGTCTGAAAAAGACTGTACGTTATCTCGCTTGATCCTCCCAACTCTGTGAGGTAGGTGCTAGGCCTTTCATCAATAGCACATGGGAAAAGGAACCAGGAAAAACTCTCAAGACGTTTTCTAAACCGGCAATATGGCCCTCAAAGAAATTTGGGAATAAAGGCAGCAGAGAAAAACAACAAAGCAGAGATTTAAAAAAAAAAAAAAAAAAAAAACCAGGCGGTGCTGCAGCTGCTTCCCCTTCGGCCCAGATTACAAAAGTGAGGGGGTGGAGGTGAGGTGGGGGGGGGGCGGGCGTCAGAGATGGTATTTGGGGGAGGGAAAGAGCAGTAAAAAAAAAAAAAAAAAAGATCCAAAGAAACTGTTAAAATTGCGCAGCAACGGCTCCAGGATCTGAACCCGCCCTTTCCCTCCCCCGGCCTTCGCCAAAGGGCCAGCTAAGGTACTTGGAAATGTGCCCAAAACGGGTGCGGTCAGGCCACTCAGCGCAGAAAGAAGCATCAATTCCACAGAGAAAGGAGAGGGATAAGGTTTCCCTAGCTACTGCCTCCCGCCCCTTTTCCAAAGCCCAAATTCTCCGCAGGGTGGGGCCATGGACTATCTCTGCCCTCCCCCCCAACTCCCATCCTAGAAAGATCAGGGGTTTTCCCCTTGATCCCAGTCCCAGCAGGGCACCTCACCTTCCACCACACCACAGAGGAACCTCCGCGCTCCGCCCGATGCCGCGGCGGAGGCTGCAGTGCTGCCTCCTGCCCCTGCCTGGCTCCCCTCCCCGGGGGATGGGGCTGCAGCCGGCTCCAGCGGGCCTCCGGCGGTGGCAGCGACGGTGGTGGGGTTGGGGGTGAGCTCGCTCTCCCGCTCCTCCAGTGCCGCCTGGCTCTCTTTCTGCACCATCCTCCTGGCCCCGGCCGCAGCCACCGCCGCAGTCACTGCGGGCCCTTCCCGGCCTCCGTCCGTCCTCCCGGTCGGTCTGTCGGCCCAGAGATTCGGAACAGAGAGCGCGAGCGCCGCGCCCGCTACGCCTTCCTTTCCCCTCCCCCTCTTCCTCCCTCGCCACCTCTCCACGGGGGCCCGAATGCCCGGATGGGAAGGCGGGGGCGCCCGGCGCGAGCCCTTTGTCAGTCTCCTGAGCCGGATCCGGGCAACCAGAGCCGGAATGGGGGGGCAGGTTAACTTTTTTGTTCCCCAAAAGTAGAAGACCAACTTCTTTCCCTTTTCTTCTCTCTCTCTCGCCTGATGACCCACTGCTGCTGTCGCCGCCGCCGCCCTTCTACTGCCCTTCCTCCTTCCGCCACTTCTCCCCGGAGCCCCTAGATCGCCTCTGCCGCTACCGCCCGCTTCCTGTTTATCCGCACTGCGCCTGCGCCGCAGACCGGCTCAGACCGGTCCTTTCTACCCTTCTCTCCCTCCCCGCCTCTGGGCCAAGCCACTGAGCCCAGTTGGCGGGGGAGGGAAACATTTGAGAAATCTCCGGGATGAAGACTATAGAGGCAACAGTAGATCATACCATTTTAGTTTCCCCCCCATAGAACCAGGCGAGGACTCTGGGACGGACCATTACATCACTAGAAGAAGGGGAGAATGGGAGGGGGAGAGGTGTTTACTTCCACAGTGCGCAAGCGCAGAAGCCTAGCTTCTGTTTCTTAAAGAGACCGGTGGGTTTTCTCTCCCTGTTCTGACCTACTTTTCTACTCACTGCAGCAGTTTCTGGCTAAATTCCTCCGCCCCCCCCGCCCCCCCCCGACTCAGGCCTCTAGTTAACTTGGCCTCCATAATTTAACTTTCCAGCTTTATTTCACTTTACTCCCCTTTACGTGCTCTCCTTCCAGCTGGAGTGGAAGGCTAGCTAGGCTTGTCCAGGCTTCGCCTTGCAGTTTTCTGTTTCTGTGTATGCACGTCATTGTTATTAACTATCGCCTGTTTACACTGGGTGTCCCCAAAGACCTGAAGCTGCTAAAGTTTGCAGCTGCCCGAAGGCTTTCGGGTCACTCTTTATAGCGCTTTAAAGTTAATAAAGCGCTTTCCTCACACCTAAGTGGTGCTCGCGCCCTTTCCATTTTGCAGGTATGAAAATTTACCCACAGTCGTTTTGGGAAGAGTCAAGAGCCAGGCCTGGAACTGTACAGTACAGTAGTCTTTACAATATGCCAAGCTACCTCTGGAAATCTTTCTCTTCTTTCAAGACCCAGGTTAGGTGCTACATCCTTCTCCCCGAGCTTCCCTAATTCCCCTAGCTGAAAGTGATCTCTTGCATTTTTGTTGTTGTCCCAACCTGTCATTTCATAAGTACATGGAACTTCCCCGTGTAAATTCCTTCTGCTGATGCAGATCTGCATTTCCTTTGCCGGTTATAGGCTTAAAAAGTTGCATGGGGGCACTGGGAAGTTAATCAACCTGGCCACTGTCACCTGCCTACTATATGTGAGAGGCACTTGGACTTGGAACTCCAAGACCAACCCACTAGCCACTAGACTACCCTATCTCTTTGGACATGTCATATCCCACCTGTAAGACTGTAAGTTCCCTGAGGGGAAGCCTTGTCATTTTCCATCTTAGAATCCTAGGACAAGGCCTAACCCAGAGGGGGCATTCAGAATGTTTGTTGAATTGAACTGATCCTCAGCTTAAATGAGAGAGGCCAGAACAGTTCAGCCTGACCTTGTAGTCCTGGTCCTGGATAGAGGGTCTGCATAGTTCATATCTGCTCCCATTACCACTTCTGACCCACCTTCTGCCACCATCACTCAGCAACCTCTCAACCTCTGGGATTGATTCTATCCAATCAAATCTAGAATCTGTTATCTCCCAGTCCCCAGCTCATCCTCCCTCCTTTCTCCAGGAGTTCAATACCTACCTGCCTCACAGCCTTCCTCTTTACTCCAGTTTCTTCCTTTATACAATGGAACTTCAAGAGACATGTAGATGCTCCCTCAAACAGCTTGACTTCCTAGTTTCTCAGTCTCCTTGAGTCCCATGACCTATTCTTTTACAGTATCATAGCACGGTACTCGGAGGAAGGGTCACCCCTTGAGCTCACCATCACCCACAGGTGTTTCACTTCCATGATCAAGGCTGAAAGTACAGTGGCTATTTAAAGTCCCAATTCTATCAGCATGGGAGCTTTAATCTGCTGTTCCTAAACTAGGTTATTTTGACCCTCCTTAGTCAGTATGGATGCCTTAGAGAGAAAAGGAGATCATCTTAAAAAAATACTGTTAATCTAATCTTGACTGGGCCTTCACTGCAGAAAAGTAATCCCTTCTCCTCCGTAATTGATTCTCTAGCATATTTTTCATTTTTGTTTTTGTTTTATTTAGCATTTTATTTTTCCCCAGATGCGTGTAAAAACAATTTTTAACATTCATTTTTAAAACTTTGAGTTCCAAATTTTCTCCCTCCTTCCATCCTCTCCCCCTCATTGAGAAGGCAAGCAATTTGATGTAGGTTATACATGTGTTGTCATACAAAACATTTCCATAATAGTCATGTTATGAAAGAAAACATAGACAAAAAAAACCTCAAGGAAAATAAAGTTGGGGCAGCTAGGTGTCGCAGTGGATAGAGCCCTGGCCTTGGAGTCAGGAGGATCTGAGTTCAAATTTGGCCTCAGACACATAACACTCACTAGCTGTGTGACTCTGGGCAAATGACTTAACCTCAATTGCCTCACATAAAAAAAAAGTTAAAAAAGTCTTTACTCAGACACCATCAGTTGTTTCTCTGGAGATGGATAGCATTTTTAATCATAAGTCCTTCAGAGTTGTCTTGGATCATTGTATTGTTGAGAATAAACTGAGCATCTTACATATTGCTATTACTTTATACACGGTACATTTCACTTTGCATCAGCGTGTGTAAGTCTTTCCAGGTTTTTCTGAGAGCATCCTGCTCATTATTTTTTATAGCACAATAGTATTCCATCATAATCACATACCACAATTTGTTCAGCCATTCCCCAATTGATGGGCATCCCCTCAATTTCCAATTCTTTGCCACCACCAGAAAAGAGCTAGCATAGTTTTTTTTTTTCTTTTGGTAAGGCAATTGGGATTAAGTGGCTTGACCAGAGTCACACAGCTAGTGATCTAAGGCTGAATTTGAACTCAGATCCTCCTGACTCCAAGGCCAGTGCTCTATCTACTGCACCACCTAGCTGCCTCTAGCATAGTTTTTGAATTAAGTGTTACATACTTCTCAAAACTCCTATATTGCCCTTCTTCCTACCCTCTTAACAGAGGACATCACCTCATTTTTTTTCTTTTTTTTTTTGATGAGGCAGTTGGGATTAAGTGACTTGCAGAGTCACACAGCTAGTGAGTGTAATGTGTCTGAGGCTGGATTTGAACTCAAGTCCTCCTGATTCCAGGGCCAGTGCTTTATCCACTGTGCCACCTAACAGCCCCATCATCACCTCATTTTTTACTGAGAAAATAAGATGCCATTCTCTGTGAGCTCCCTCTTCTCCCCTATTCTATATTTTCAAAAGTTTAATATCGTCTCTTCTCTCCTTTACCCCAGTTTCTGATGAAGAGGTGGCATTTCTCCTCACTAAGGCCAATCCTTAAAACATCCTCATTTCTTTACCGTCATGTCAAGCTATCATCCTATATCTCTCTTCTCTTTCCAGTTGAAACCCTTAGAATTCTTTCTTTTCTTCCTCTCCTCTCATTCGCTTCTCAGCCTCTTGAAGTCTGGTTTCAGATCTCCTCACTCAAATGCAGATTCCTCTCTCAAAAGTTGCAGTATTTTAAAAATTATCATATTTTCTTAATCTTCATCATCTTTGACCTCTTTGCAGCATTTGGCTCAGTTGATTACCCTCTCCTCCTGGATTCTCTGTCTTCTCTGGGTTTTTATGAGACTCTCTTGGTTCTCCTCCTACTTGTCTGACCAGTCCTGTGTGTTCCTGCTGGATCATTTTCCATATCCCACTCTTTAGCTGTGGGTATATACCAAGGCTTTGCCCCACCCCCTTCTCTTTCTCTGTGACCTTCTCAACTTCCATAGGTTCAGTGATATTTCTATTCAGATGATTCCCAGGTTTATGTATACAACTCTAGTCTCTTTTCTGAGTTCAAATCCCACATCATTAACCATCTATTGGAATTTTCCAATTGTATATCCCATAGGCATCTCAAACTCAGCAACTCCAAAACAGAATTCATTATCTTTTCTATCAAACAAAACTCTCTTCCTGACTTCCCTGTATCTTTTGTAGATTCTCCTTCTAGTCACCCAGGATTTCCAACCCCAGAGTCATCCTCAACTCTTCAGTCTCCATTGCGTCTTATAACAAGTCAGTCACCAAGCCTTGCCTTTATCTTCACAACATTTGTCACGTCCATCCCCTTCTCTCCACTTATATGGCCACCAAGTGCAGGCCCTCATTAGTTCTTTCCTGAACTATTTCAATAACCTCTTAATTGTTCCTTTCCTTAAGTCTTTCCCCCCTACAATTCATCCTTCATACAATTGCCAAAGTGATATTCCTTTTTTCTTTTTTTTTTTCAATTTGTACATATATTTTGATTTATCAACAATCACTTCCATAAGCTTTTGAGTTTTAAATTTTTCTCCCCCTCTGTCCTCACCTCCCTCCCCTAGACTGTGAACAATCTGATATAGGCTATACATATACATTCCTATTAAACATATTTTCACATTAGTGATGTTGTAAGGAAGAATTAGAACCAATAGGAGGAACCACCAGAAAGAGGAAACAAAACAAAACAGAAGAAAAAAATAGCAAACAATATGCTTCGATCTGCATTCAAACTCCATAGTTCTTTCTTTGGATGTGGATTGCATTTTCCATCATGAGACCTTTGGAGATGTCTTAGATTATTGCATTGCCGAGAAGGGCTAGGTCTATCAACATTAGTCATCGCACAACGTGGCTGTTACTGTGTACAATGTTCTCCTGGTTCTGCTCACTTCACTCAGCATCAGTTCATACAAATCAGAGTGATATTGCTAAAGCACATGTTACAGGTGGTACCCTTAATCAATTGAATCTCCCCAATCCACTGATTGGATTGGATGTGAAATGATAGGATGTAGAACTTGATCAGGAAGAGTACCTTCTATAAAGCTGTATATTCATGCTGGCTTCTTGCTGAGATGCGTGTCCTTTGCAAGGGGAACAATTGGCAATAGCTCATTGGTTCCCTTGACTAGGAAATTATCTCAAAGATGGTTAGCCACTGGGAGCCAAGGGGATAAGCATTTGGGAGTCAGGAACATAGATCTTACTGGGGCTATAATTTGAGCAAGAAGAAAGATCTCCTCTGTTTTTGAAGCCTTTGCTTTTGAAGAGCCTTGCTCTTTAGGGATTTTTGCCTAGCACGTTG